ACAGCCCCTTATTCCTATCCCTTCAACCCTTTCCTCGGCAACCCTTGACGCACCTCCGTCCAATGACCTATCAACTTCAATCTCCGCCCTTTTCACCGCGGTCACTTCCCTGGTTAACTCCGCAATCCCTGCGTTGCCTCCCATCGATATACCTCCTCCTCCTCCTCCCCCCGAGCCTTCGACCCCTCCCTTGTCCCCCGTTAATTTCCTCGAGTCTTCCGATCCAATCTCTGCCCTTGCCCATGTCTTGAATACCCACCTCTCACGGCCAGCCCCGCCGTCCCCCATGGTGGCTCCTTCCACGGCTTTAGTTCCCCGTGCCCCTTCCGCCAGCACCAGCTACCCAATCATGGTGGTTGGGTCCGAGGTGTCTGCGACCTCGGACCAGCCCTATGCGATGGGTGCCTCCCCCCAAGCCTCGGGTTTCCACCCAATTACCTCTCCTATCACCCCCTTCCCAGTTGCCCCCGCTCCAGCTACCCCTGAGGCTATTCTTCACCGTGGTTCAATAGTGCCCGAGGAGGTCGTTGTGGTGGACCAGAGTCAACCCCAACTGGGGGGGGAAAGGCTTCCCCAACGGCACTCGCTTCCCCAGGGGTATACTCAGATCAACCATGGGGCGGATGGTGCACCACCTATGTACGTTACTTTTAACCCTTCCCAAGCCGCTACCCTTGTAACTTCACTCCCTGATCCTGAGAAGCACCCCATGCCCTTTTTCCGCAGGGTGGCTCAGATCCGTAAGACATATTCCGCTGCATGGCGGGACCTTATTAGTTTATGTGAAATTAAGGCCGGAGATGCATACTGGCCAATCATGGAACGGAGCTTTAGTGATGCTCCACTTACTTCTGATACTGATTTCCGTTCTGGTGAAATTTTCTGTGAACAACTTCGTGCCTGGGCGCAGGATAAACTAGCTGACCAGGCTACTTGCATTAATGATATAATCCAAGACAAACTTGAGACCGTTGAAAAGTACCATTCTAGGTTGACTCAGACATTCTCGGACTTAGGGTTCAGTACTTACAACAAGGCACACACCCAGATGCTCTCTGCAGCTTTCGTGGCAGGACTGAGAGAACACATTCGCAAGGGGTTAATTTTAGCTCACCCTGAGTATAGAATTATTCCACTAGACACTCTTTTGTTAGTAGCCAAGGGCCTAGAATCTGTTTTACAACCCACACAGCGCAGGGCTAGCCCACTGATGTACACCGCCCCCACACCTATCGCTAGTTCTAATCAGGTCCCCCAGGTATTCCCCCAACAGTACACTCAATCACCCCACACACTGCCTGCGCCAATCCCTTTCCCCCGGGACCGGACCATTATGACAATCCGGACCTGTTTTAATTGCAATCAGCCAGGCCACTTCAGAAGAGATTGCCCACAGCCTAGGGTGTTCCGCCAGCCTAGTCCCCGGTACCAAGGTCCCCATGTCACCGGCCATAACTACCCTTCCCCTGGTTACCTCCCCGCCCTTCCCCATCCACATTTGCCTCAGCTTCCTCCTCCTCCTCCTCCCCCCCCTCCTCCTCCTGAATACACTCAAGCACGGCCCCCTGTATCAGAAGCTCGCACGTATACTCCACACTCTGCAGAAGGGTTTGATAATGATGATTTCCAAGACGGCCAACCCCGTCCTACCCTCCGCCCATCCCGCCCTCCCATGCATTCTGCTAACCCCCCTTCTACTTCCCGCCGGTACCAGGGACCAGACCAGGCCCATTTAGATTTATTACAATAGGTAACCGGCAAGCCTGTGTCAGCAACCCCTGCCATGGCAGTGTCTGCGGGGGATGGAGGGGGCCCTCTAGCTACTGTTGTTCTCCCTGTGGAGGGCCACCCCACCACTTTCCTGGTTGACACAGGTGCAGCCCGTAGTGTCCTTAGGGAACAAGACCTGCCTGACCCCTCTTTCTTATCTGACACTGATGTTTCCTGTGTTGGGGTGGATGGTACCCCACGCAGCAACCCCCTTACTAAGCTCCTACATGTAGGTTCACACATCCTCTCACGCTTTGTGGTTTCCTCTACTTGCCCCATTAACCTCCTAGGTGCCGATGTTCTCTCTCGCCTCCAGGCCTCCATTACCTTCACTGCAGATGGGCAGATTGAGTTGACAACTCCCTTATCACAAAAAGATACCTCTGTCCTCTGTTCACTCCCTATTTTGTTAAACCTAACTGACAACTCAGGGGATGCACGGGTCCCACAAACCCCCAGTGCTCTGGACCGTATCCCACCTGATCTTTGGTCCACCGGCCCGGATGATATTGGACGTTTGCATGTGCCCCCGGTCTTGGTTCAGCTCCTGCCCGGGGCACAGCCTCCTCGCAGACCACAATACCCTCTAAAGCCTGCACAAGCTGAAGCCATTACCAGACAAGTTGAAAGTCTCCTTACCAAAGGTGCCCTCATCAAGTGTTCGTCTCCATGCAATACTCCACTTTTTCCTGTTAAAAAGAGAACTGTTAAAGGTCAACCTGACCAGTATCGTATGGTACAAGATCTCCGTGCTGTGAATGATGTGACCATCAAAGACACTGCCATTGTTCCTAACCCCCACACCCTCTTATCCCAAGTCCCATCAACTTCAACAATATTCACTGTGGTGGATCTAGCTAATGCCTTCTTCAGTGTCCCCCTTGACCCTTCATGTCGTTTCCTCTTTGCCTTCACCCATGAAGGACAGCAATACACCTGGACTGTCATGCCTCAGGGGGCTCAGAATTCCCCCACACAATTTGCACACGCCATGTCACTGGTGTTGGAACCCTGGCAACAATCTCATTTGGATGTCGTCCTGCTTCAATATGTTGATGATCTCCTTCTCTGTGCTCCTGATTTACTCACTGCGGAGCGTGATTCAGAAGACCTCCTATGTTTTCTTGCTGCTGCTGGTTGCAAAGCCTCCAAATCCAAGTTACAATGGTGCCGGCCCTCTGTGGTCTTCTTGGGACACTGCCTTTCCCATGGCACCAAACATCTCACCTCCCAACGTGTACAAGCCATTCTGCTTCTTCCATTACCTGCTAACCACCAGGCTCTCCATGCTTTCCTGGGTCTAATCACGTACTGCAGGTCCTGGATACCTGAAGCATCAAAACTCATGCAGCCACTCTATGATGCCCTCAGGAGCGAACCTTTCCATCTCACAGAAGAAACTATCATCTGTTTCCGCACTCTGAAAAGAGCTATTGCTTCTGCACCTGCCTTGGGCCTACCAAACTACCAACTTCCCTTCAACCTTTTTGTCTCTGAAAAATCAGGACATGCTTCCGGAGTCCTCACCCAAAAACATGGCTCAAGACAACGCCCTATTGGCTATTTTTCCTGCATGCTTGACCCTGTTGCAAGGGGTAGCCCCTCTTGCCTCCGAGCGGTGTTCGCCGCCAGTGCTCTCCTGGACAAGACCAATGACTTTGTTCTTGGCCATCACCTACAGACATCCTTACTCCTACCTGACAATGTGAAACTCCAGAGATGCCTTTCCCTGAACCCAGCCACTCTTCTGCCACTTCCCAAGGGGGGAATAGTGCATCACTGGTACAGCCTGGACATCAACCCAGAGGTCCGAGCAGATTTACAATTGCCTGTGTTTGCACCTTCCCCTGATGATGAACAATCAGAGGCCCTACTCCACTGTGTCTTGTGGTTTAGGGACATACCAAACCCTGACGTGGACTATGAGGAAGAACTATTTCAGCTCAAAGACATCCAAATTACCTTGACTGACTTGTTTTGGGACTCCACAGGTACCATGCTCATTCTGGTACATCTTCCAGACAATGCAGTACACCTCTACCACCATTGGGAAACAGCTATCCCACACATACCTCTCACCAGATCCCATGACATCACATGGGAGACCCTAGGCCCAAAGGCCAAAACTTGGAACCAAATGACTCCAGAACAACTGACTTCTGCAGGAATAAATAAAAAGACAATTAACTACTGCACAACAGGACACTCCAGGTACCACATAGAGGCCTGTGAGGACCCACCCACCATAGACTGCGACCTTATTGATATCCCTCACGACTGTTTTGAACAAATGAAAATGGAAACTACACACCTACCAACTGTTTATGAAGCTGCATTACTCAACCCGGATCAGACACTATTTGTGGATGGCTCAAGGTTTGCTGACGAACAAGGACAATACCACACTGGATATGCAGTTACCACAGGATGTCAAATATTACAAGCAGCTGCCCTACAACCAACTAAATCTGCCCAAGAGGCCGAGTTAACAGCCTTGACTGTGGCCTGCAAACTGTCCGAAGGCCTACGTGTCAACATTTATACGGACTCAAGATATGCCCTGGGAGTGGCACACGATTTTGGCTTAATCTGGAAGACCAGAGGATTCCTTACAGCTACCGGTACCCCAGTAAAGCATGGGGCAGCCATTGCAGAACTGATGGACGCATTGGAACTCCCAGCAGAAGTGGCAGTATTGAAAGTAAAAGCTCATGGAAGATTAGACACAGAAGAAGCACGTGGCAATAACCTGGCTGATCAGGCAGCCAAAGAGGCAGCACGACAAGGATGGGAAGTGGACAGAAGAGTGGCCACAGATGCATTACCAATTTATACTATGCAAACATTGCCTACAGACCTCAGGCTGCTGAAGGAACAGCAAGCTGCTGCCACTCCTCAGGAGAAACAGAGTTGGAAGAACAAAGGAGCAATACTCCGTGATGAAGTTTACACTATTAATCTCAAGTTCTGTCTACCTAGAAGTATGTACCCAGCGGTGGTCCAATGGGCCCATGGGCCAGCCCACCTATCAAAGCTCC